GCTACCCAGAACTCGACTCACTCTATTCGAGAAGAAAAGGGGTTGAGCGAGAAAGAGAATTGCGGCCAGCCGTCTTTTTTTGTTGGGCTGTGATCAGTAATTCAACCTATAGCATTAGGGGCTGCACACAATGAAAGGAATAGAGAACAGGGAACGGGAAATAGGGAACAGGAAACAGGGAACAGGGAATAGGGAATAAAAGAACAGTTTAATATTAACATATGCATTATTCACATATCGGGTATGCAAAATATAAAATAAAATTTTATTAGTTTTTTAACAGTTATTGAACTGTTCTCTACTATTCCTTTTATTGTGCGCAGCCCCTTAGAGTTGCAGTATAAGTATACACAGTAGAGAGACTGAACTTTTTTGGTGCAGGTAATAAATTCTATCCTACCAGGAATATGGAGGCCTGTATGTATGACAAAGAGAAAGATACTTCTCTCTCTTTCTCTCTTAAGCGCTCGTACAGCTCAGAAAATGGCGACGAGTCCGTGACCTGGTACCCATTACATCAAAGGTGCCGACGCTCAGTGTCACTACTATATGTACTTATACTAGGGTGCGTTCAGGAATTACGTTTAGGCGCACATAGGTAACTCTAATGCTATAGTGTACGTAACTATAGCTTAGAATTACCCAGGTTAAATTTTTGAATGCAGCTCTGTGTTAGAGTTACCTAGGTGTACCTAGGCGTAATTTGAATGCACCCCTGCTGTACTTTACGACAACAATTGAATACCATTGACCAATCAAAAGTCTGCTAAATAAAGGGAGGACGGTCGCAAAGCAACCCGTCTTTATCTTCTCGTGACCCAGGCGCTAAGCTAGGATGGGAATTCACATTCCAGTGTTGTATATAGTTCTATGGCTTAATTTACACCGTAGAAACTCTTGATACCAAGGGTATCAAGCTAATGCGGACTAAGCGTTAGATACATTTCTGTTTACATCGACCGTGTTAAATCATATTAGTGATTTTTTCAAGACGTTTTTCAATTTCGATTACGCATACAATGGGTATGTATCAAGCCAATCAGACAACACATTAAGAATGCATTTGATACGCGTATCAACTTAGTCTGATACAGGCTGTTCTCGAGTATCGTACCATTCTGATACTCCGTTGTTTACATCGATCGTACCAATGGATTTAGTCCTAATATAATACTTGGTATGCGTATCAAATGCTTGGTGTAAACAAGATTTACACGCTTAAACTTAAGACGCCCTGGTAAAAATTACCGTTAGAAACGAAAAGAAACGTATAGTAAAACAGTCAGAAACGGATAGAATGCATGTTCTATTACTATGACGTTTTACTATGCGTTTCTTTCCGTTTCTAACGGTAATTTTTACCAGGGCGGTATATAATCATATGTGTATGCTGGATATTCACTTGTCGCTGCCTATGCATATTGAGTTTTTATTTGTATATTCGATTTCATGTACAATTAAAATTTTAAAGCAAAAAAATCATTAACAAGAATTCATAGCAAAATCAAAAGGCTGATAATTGCGATCATATCCAAAATTAAACTATATACGGGTCCAGAAGTTAATTTTAACACACATCTAGTGCGACACTTTATTTCAAAGTATTTAACCTTTTTGCTATGGTGGCGTTGGCCGAATAGCGATTATGAGGTACGGCAGCATAAGCCGCCAGCACTGTTTTAACTTGTTGCATTAAAGATATATAATTTTTCAAGCACAAAAGTAAAACGGGATTTACATAAGTACAAAATTATATTTTAAAATTATATTTCATTATTATTTTAAACTTCGTATTTAATATACGCTACAAGCAAAGTTAGTACCAATACGGCTATGCCGGCTATAGAGCCGGCGCTAGTATCTACGAATGTCACATGGATGCCGGCTACAGACAACATTATAGGAGCAAAAAGGTTAATGCTTATGGGAAATAAGGATGACATTTAGTAAAAAATGCCGAGTAGGTTGGTTGTGCTAAGAACAATATTTATACAAAATGCAAATACGTATTGTAAAGTACTCAATGTACGTTGTTCCATAGAATAGATTTTTAAATTAAAGTGATAAATAAATACGACTTGGAGATTCTTCACGAATTTACAATTTAGATGAAACGAAAACCATGACAGTTCAAAATAGTGGAAAGATAATTGCTGAAAAAAGTTTCAAAGCTGTGTGTAAAATCAAAAGTGTGGAAAAGGGAGTTCTTGTTACAACATGTTGCATTGCCCGTGCTGATGGAAACTATATATTTACCACCTGTTTTGATATTTCCTCGGATGAATTACCGCGATCACATGCTGACTGGTGCTCCGCCTAACTCGATGGGTCTGGCCAATCCATCAGGCTGGATGACCAATAAACTTTTTGTTAAAACAATACAGCATTTTATACAATTTTTATACAGCACGAAGGATAACTTATCACTTTTGATCTATGACAACCATAAGAGTCAAATAAGTTTAGAAGTCCTTGAGTTAGCAAAAGCAAATGGTGTCTACTCTGTCTACATTTTAACGCTACCTCCGCATTTATCACACCGGATACAGCGCCTTGATGTTGGTCTATACGGTCCATTCCAGAAGTTTTACAATTCTGCTATTGATTCATGGATGCTGAGTCACCCGGGCAAAACAGTATCAATTTATGAAGTAGCTAATTTTGTCGGCATAGCCTTACCACGCGCTATGGCACCAAATAACATTAACAATGCTTTTAAAAAGACAAGAATTTTTCCTTAGGACCCACATGCATTCAGCGATGAAGATTTTAATTTTGGAACGGCCTTTCCATCAAGTGTGACAACAGAGGAAACTGACAACGTAGCAGGTCCATCACAATCTTCTTTACAATAAGTAAATGCTGTAGCAAACGACTCATCAGGCACGCCATCGAGAATGTCTGTAGCAAATGATTCATCAGGCACGCCATCAAAGATATTAATAGATAAAGATTTACAGTCAACGGCACAAGAAAAAGAAGCAGCTGACGAGGTCCCAAGCCAGTTTAAAAGTCCCGCAGAAATTAGAGGCTATCCAAAGGCAATACAAACGAGAATGTCGCGGAAATTGAACGGCACGTCGTCGTCGTCGTCGGGCAGGTTAATTCAAATGGATCCTAATGTCGTGCCGCCTCGCAAACGCATCCTGCGAGAGCTAGAGAGAGTCTCGTTGGAGGATCAGGCGTCCAAGAGGCATCAGTATGGAACTAGAAAACGTAGACAGCAGGGTAGCAGCAAAATTTTTACTGATTCTTTGGAGAAAAAAAACTTAGTAGAAAAAAAGAAAAAACAAGAAGAAATGGAAAATAAGACACGAAAGAGAAAACCAAAAAAGTAAATAGACGTTCTTACAGTTATTAATAAAAGAGTTATTAATAAATTAGATAAAGAAAAGAGTATAAACGTTTATGTTTTTTGTTAGTAAAAAAGTTTGAACATTTGTTTTGTTTGTAAAAGAATGAGCATTTATGTCTTTGGTTTCTAAAATGTTATTTTTGATCAAAGAAAACATGTCAGAAAAAAGTTTTTCTTCCAGATAATAATATTTCAATAGTGGGTAGTTCGGATATCTTGTCTGTCCTGTAAAATCTTGAACAGTGTGATAAAAAATATATAAAATAAAATATATTTTCAACTTTTGTGTAACATTTTGTTCTAAAAAAGAACACGTACACAACAAATATAATTAAAAAAAAAAAAATAAATAAAAAAAAACACGTACACAACAACTGTAATAAAGAAACATCATTAAAAAAAATTAGATGTTACTACTAATTTATACTTTTTATAATTTTACTTCCTATTTACTTGATGCAAATAAACTTTCGGGTATCACTGTAAATATTTTAAAGAAATCAGATATTACTGATTTATCATATCTGCTTGACGCAAAAATTCTGATATTATTGCTTTTATAGTTAAAAATACAAATAAAATTATAACATCAAATATCATTAAAAAAATTTTGTCTATAATGAGTTTGCATAAAGCACGTACATTCGGTTATTGGCGTTATTTTCCTTTTTTAGAAAAATGTAACTTTTGTAGATCTGTATGTGATCTGGTAGTAATTAGGAAAATTTAAAATATATATCCTTATAAACATTTAGTCTAATAAAAAAAAACTATATTTCTTGTTGACCTTTGTGAAAAATTCTATAAGCGCTTTTTAAGGCGCTCATTGTAACACAATTTAGTATCAGAGATCTGTATTACAGAACGGTTATAATGGCACTGAGAAAAAAACACAGGAAGTTGTGGAATTATTTCGAGGATTTAAAACCCCTGCTGGTAAAGTGCACGACCTGTAAAAAAAAAATTAAGGTATCTCACCCAGAAAACTGCATAACAACAATGAGAGTACACTTAAGTAAACATGGAATATTTCTCAATAATGACACTTGCACACTACCTGACGACTTAAAACAATATTACTCGGAGTTATCGGGATATAAGGCAAAATGTAATGATTGCGGCATAACATTATCCTTCTTAACAAGTATTGGAAATTTACGAAGACATTTAAGAAGACATTGCACAAGAATCC